GGATGGGCATTTCACTATCGTGTGCACATTTTAGTCGGCATCATTGGGCAGATTGTACTCAGCTTTGGACAATCGGTTTATCTTCCGGGCATATCGTCATATCTGACAGCTAAAAAGCAAAAGGATGCTGCAGCAGCTTCTGCTGCCAACAGTATGCTCTACTTTTGTGGAGCTGGCATAGGTGTGACCTTGGCTGTGCCTCTACAAAACGCTATTGGTATTGGTGCGTTCTATTCATTACTGGCCATTATTAATATTACAACGATTTTCATCATGAGTCTGCTTCTATACTACTGTGTCCAATCTGCTCGACATGAGCAAAGTGTTGTGGATCAAGCTAAGAAGCCTGACGACTCAATGTCGCTCACAATCGGCAATGAAACTATCCAAAACGAAACCAAGACCTAGAACAAAGGAAGATCACTCAGCTATAGCTGCAAAATAGTACTAGCTATATAAAAAACTAATATTTGAACAATTTTGCTTGAACTCCACAAATATAACAAAAAAAAATTCATACTGAATAACATTGAAAGTCTTACAGCTAACAAGTTCCAATTTTCGTTACTAGAAAAAATAACATTATTGAACACCGTTACTTGTACGATACAATTTGTCAGCTGAGTATTCAGAGCATCAGTAACTGTTGAAAATTTTCACAGCGTTATGAAAAGAATTATTATCAATGATTCGGCGACAATATCAGTACTTTTATCTTTTATTTTTGTGCGTGAAACCTGTACAGCTTCATAGCACACATATACAGTAAACTGCTTTGCGAACTTTACCACGAAATTCTTATTCAATAGTGTATGTGAGAATGTGTATGATGTGAAGTAAGAAGTACATAATACAAAAGTAGCGAATTCGGTAACTTTTTATGAAATTCATGTGTATTCTCGACGAAAATAATAATAGTCCGTGGAAGTTTCAATCAAAGCTTTTGTCGCTTCGACCTACCATCCGTAGCTCGCTTTGCTCCTCTGATCGATCTTAGCAAATATTTCTTCCTAAATCCTAGCAAAAAAAGAGAGGAGTGAAAAGCCAAATGTTATTGGATATGCTTTCCTAGCACTAGGAAAAGGCATGTAGGTAATATCTGTGCTTAGATCATTTCGAAAATCTGTAGATTCTAACCAACCTAAATATTATAGACTTTGGTATAATGCATCAAAAAGATCTTTCCTTAGGTGCCAATCAATGTACTGTGAGTGTTATTGATCTAGCAAAACTAAAATAGAATGAACATAGAAAAGTATGAACTAGTTGCAATCGAAGTTTAGGAAAAACCCACGACAGCTGTTAAAAATCGTCAAGAAAAAGAATGCTATGCGCGGCAACTTACTGAACGATACAAGCAATTTGTATAGCAGGTTAATATGACGATTGAACCGACGAAACGACGAATAACAACATACTGACTGATTTCTATGTCATTTATCGTATATAAGGGTGTGGGTGTGGGTGTGAACGAACTTAACACTTACATAAACACACCGACACCCACATTGTTTGTCTACCAAATATCCATCTTCTTCCTTCTCTCTTGCAGATAACTATCACGTATCCTAATACTCTGAGCGACCAAAACGATATTTTACCCACCCCTTCCTGCTTTCACATCAGTTACACAATAAACCAAGCATCACGGAACCTTAAATAATTATAAATAACTGTAGTTTGTTTATGTTTTTCGAATCATTTTGAACAACTATTGCAGAGTCAAAGCCAACTGATGATGACCTTTAAGCAAGGTCGAAATCTGGATCTTGGCCAGCTAGACTCACACTCACCCTTCTATATAAGATCTCGAAGACAGCTTTTTTGCAAGCCCTTGTCTTGACAATTTTTTAGATTTTAGTGATTGTTATTGATGCTGAACAATGGCTCCGGGTCTGAACCTAATAGTGGAAAACGAAGGTGCACATTGTTCGCTATAAAGTATCTTTTGTCCATATTGGGGGTGGTATGTACTATACAGGATCTTGAAGACAGTTTTTTTGCAAGTCCTTCCCTTGACAATTTCGTAGGTCTCAGTGATTGCTCTTGATGCTCAAAAAAATGGCTCCGGTTCCTAATCAAATAGTGGGCAACGAAGGTTCCCATGGTTTTGGCGTGACCTATATATGACCATAGATATAACCGTATTTTACTGAGTATCTAACTACGGCAAAAGTGTGACTGTTCAAGCTGAAACCTTATAGGAGTGGCTACTAACTTTGCCCTGTACAATTGCTGAGAGTTTCGCGCGAAACAACCTTTGTTTTCAATTGGGCCAAAATCTCTATAAAACGTCCCCCTGTTCTCTACAGTAAAATAGCTCCTAGCTTATATGACTATACGAGTTCCACGTTTTAGCCCAAAACGGATTGCATTGACAAGTTTTTCTGAACGCGTTGTAGCATTGATATTGGATATCACTCGCCTTTTTTTTTCGTCGTCATGAGCAGACGCATCGCTGTTTGCTTACATTTCTCTTTCTTTTTTTTCATCGTTCTAACTCATATAGCACACGATGGAACTTCATTACTCTCAATATTCGGGTGGCAGACAGAGGAGATCAAGAACTATAGAGTCTTTAAACAAATGGACATTATTCTCTGCAAATCAATGAAGTTGATGACGTACAGTGAGAAGAAGTCATTTATTTCTTGGCAAATGATGAAACTCTTTTAAATGAGTTCTTACTCTTTCGTCAACAACAACATTAACAGCTTCCTGCGAAGAGGGTGAGAGTGAGGGTATAAATGATGTCGTCATTGACACTCACACCCTAGTTTCGTCGAAGATTCTTGTAAATAGAGTACAGCTTTTTTATGTCATTGTCTAAGGAATGGTATTAAAAGCAGACGATATCAAGTTATTTAAATCTATGATAAGAAACAGCCAATGATAACACTAGTTGTATGAGGCGCGTTGTCGCTCCTAGCTACTAGTTTTCACTTTTTATCTGTACTCTCATTCGTACACATTATAACGTTCATTTCGAACAAAAATTGCATAGTATCAGTTACAAGATATAAGGCTGCCATTTTTTTCCATTCATAAGATCGATACTCGGTATGTCTGTCTATGAGGCATTGCACGTAAACCACGCCTACCCTTGCTCAATCGATGTCACCGATTTGGCTGATATTTTTAAAGTAGGTAGGCCTAACCAAGTTAGGAAGAAACTGAAAATTTCAGCTCAAACCAACTAGCCAATCTGAAGATATAGACGTTGCAAGTATGAGGGGGTAGGCTATTTTTGGAGTACCTTTCAGCGCAAAATGTTTCAGTAAATTTCCATTTTATAAAGAACGACAAGAGATATAATCGAGATTTTTTTTACCATATATACTATTGACTATGGGCTATCTTTGGATGGTATCAAAAGTATCTTATCGTAGGAGAATATTTGCTTTATACCATATGTCATTTTCAAACAAGAAGGATCCCAGTGTATAGGACCAATTGGTCAAATCAGCGCCCTAGAATAAATTGAGAATGGTACTATCTGAAACAGCACATCAAACTGCGTCGAATGACGTTTTCAAAAGTTCGTGAAAATTAACTTTGATAGCAAAAATTTCTTCAACAAGACTAGAAAGGCCAAATTCGGAGTCCGATTCTCACTATGAAGATCGACGATTTATTTTCAAATATTCAATCCAAGTATTTCAGATGAAAGTCCGCGCGGAAAAACCTCTAAATTCAAAATTTCAGCTCATTTGAACATGTCTGTGAAAAATTGTGAAAGTTCATCTTTGTGAAATTTTATGGGATAGCATAGGATGTGGGTGTGGGTGCGTTGTATGGATTAGAATAGTATTCATGCTCACCCACACCCACACCCACACCCACACCCCACACCCACACCTCCACACCCCGCCCACACCCACACCCTATAATTTTATAAAAGTAGTTTATGTGATCGTGATCAGAAACTCACAAAATATCTTATGGAGGATACTATATGACTAATGCAATTAAAAAAAATAAGAAAACAGATCTTGTTCGATGATTTCTATTTTTACATTTTTTAAAAATTTTATTTAGTTGAAACAAGCTAGATAAGACGCCAGATATGCATTCAAAAATATCCTAAGGAGAGATCCAGCTTATGAAATCCTTTTTTTCGCTGCGCACAATCCATACTTTTCGTATCCTCTACTAATTTTCTTTTGAGTAATGGGATCTCGCATCCCATGAGTGCTTCCTCCATTAATACATGAATTTCTAATTAACTAAAGTGTATTAAAGCCCGTCGGCTACAAAATTTCAGATCCGGTTAAAAAAAATTTTTAGAACAGCACCCGAACCAATACATAGTTGAGTACATCGTGTCGAGTCCTAACCTAAACCTCGTTAATTGAACTTTTTCTAGCTCTGAATCGACTGGGATTCTAGACATTTTCAAAGAATTATTCTTATTAGAATTAGATAGTGCGCGTTATAAATACGAGATCTTTTTTTTAGTCATATTGATCATTACTGTCCTCTAGAAATTTAGGTGTGAGTTTGGATGTGCATGTTAGCGTGTGCGTTAGTGAGAGTTACATCTTCATTCACACTCATACCCACCCTAAATCAAATTACATAGAGTTAGTCTAAGATTAAATTAGATTTTACAGTGAATGACTTTCTCTTTTATTGACTCACTTTGCTTCGACCTAGTTTTACTTATTGGCGAGAAAAGTAAACAATAAAATGAAATTCTCGGTTTCACTCGCGGACCTGGTCCACGCAATTTCTCCGCGCAAACATTTTATTGCTTTTGCTGGCTTGATTGGTAGGTTTTTTTCTGAATTAAACTGTGTAAATTGATGTTTTGGTTCAAGTTACTCTGACTGAATTTGGAAACAGATATGGAAGTAAAATCTCTGATAGCTGCAACTACTCCTAAAGCATGGTATAGGCCTTAAGTCTCACCCACTCTCAAAGACATTTGTAATACATAAAGTGAGAAAAGCTCTTTAATATTTGTTTGAACTCTATTGACTGTTTTGTTTTAAATTTTATCACATTATATTACAGAATAGCAAGCATAAAATAGTAACAACGATTATGCTGTGTGATGAAACAGTGATAAATGTGATTGAGGCTTGTGGTTTTTCAGTAGTTGATATAAAAGATGTATTAATATTTAAAATTGAATCGTTTAGTGGTAGTACATATTGATAATTGAAAAGTTCATAGACTTGCATAACAGTTGATATATTGTTGCATTTCACACGATTACAGATTAACGACATATTTGCTTTGATGGTATTGGGATAAGAATATGTTTGTGCTATAGTTAACATATTAACTTCTGTCAGTGTACTATGACATGGTAAATTATTATCGATATTTAATAGTCTGTGTTCAGATGAGCGAATCTCTTCGAGTTTTGCTTGACAATAGTTTCCCATTGTACATGTGTTACCAATACATTGAACTCCAATTGGGTTCGATACATTTGTGTAGAGAAGGTCACTAAACGTTTTCTGAAGGGAAAGAGCATCGAACTCAGCTAATTTAGAACCCAAAAGTTCATTAGCAAACGCCCATGCACAGTCGTCCGACATAGAACAAGTATACCTAATTATGGTAGTTAAATTCGAATGAAGACCAAATGTTGTTTCAATTTGAAGTTGATCAGGTGCTGTTTGATCTTCGATCATTAGTACGCCACCACCACCTCTACCATATGATCTAAAATCAAGCATCAGCGTGAGTGAGCATTGTGAATTGTCTCGATCGACATATTGTGGACATATTTTTTCAGGTATGCTGACATTGAATGATTCAAATGCGAATGGGCATCGTGTACCACATCGAAGAGATTCAATTGGTTTTCGAATATAAGCGATGAAGAGAAAAGTAAATAGATAAGCGTAGTACGACATAGGTTGTGATACGGTTTACTTGTTTGTCTTTTGTTTTATTTCTCTCTATATAAATATGTGAAAAATTATCAGTTTCATGAGATAAACGTTATTACACCACAAACAAGTAATACTCCATACTATCTCTATATATTTCAGAACGAGACGTGGCGATAGTATTCAAGTGCAAAAGAGTGATTGTGTATCGATATGTGAATTTATTGTCTAACTACAAGCGATACCCACACCTACAACCACACTCATACCCGTGCGCTTCGACAACCAGAACTACAGCAACATTCACACTCATAGACACACCCTACTTGCATCCCAGCTCTGCTCAAATATCTATCAGTTCAAGCTACTTTAATCGGTAAGTTTACCTGAGCTTGCACTGCTTTGTAAAGAATGACGTATTACTGTAAATGCTTTACAGTATCACTATACAATGTTGCATTTCTTCGCGAGAGTCTACATGAGTTTCGGTCTTGTAACCATTACTATTACGAAGGACTTAAGGTTCGAGGTAGAGTTAAAAAATTTTTGATGCCATAATTGGTGGGGGTATGTTCCTGTTTGACGGGAACACATCAGGGTGGTCTTGTTTTCAACTGATTTTCAGGTGAAAATTTTGGATTGGTAAAAATCTAAATAATTTAAGACAAAAGTTAGCAATTTTTGGCGAAGCGAAAGCTTTTTGGAAAATTGCTAAAAAGACTCCAATTTTTCAGTGAAAGTTTTCCTTAAAGAATACTACTATCGAACATAACTTATGAAAGTTTGCAGTAAATAGCCATGAAAACTGAAAATTGGACATCGTACTGCTTTACTAAACTTATGCAACCTTATTTTGAGAAAAGATAATGTTTTGCAGAGTTTTAAAAAATTTTTATACTCTTTATACTCTCCATGAGCTTCTTGGAAGTGGTGTCAACTACAACTCATGAGATCTATTGCTGCTTTGGGCGCCGATGGTGACTACACTAATGACTCCTAGTAAGAATCGACGCTTCCTGGTAAGCTAAAAACAACGAAACGTCGATAAAATTGTAAAATAGACAGAATATTATTTTATTAATCTTATGCATATTTTGCTTTTCGCGAAGCGAAAACTTTCCTGGAAATTCTTGTGATTTTTCTCGGGAAAAATACTGTTCGATATGAGATTTCCAACAAAAAGGAATCAATACTCTCGAATTTATGCTATGCGTCATCTCTTCCTTAGACGTTCAAAAGTCTGCTGTTAACGATTTGGAAGGTCACTGTCTACACTTCTCACTTGTAACAGCACTGATTTTAACTATTACTGTAGCAAAGTGTTTATTATCCAACGGAAATATTATTGGCAGTAATAATTCGAGACATTTTCGACGAAAAATATGACCCTAGATAGAACACAATTTTTTCTCTTCATATGAGTATGTTGTCATGCGCTTCTTTCATATTGGTCATCGATCCGACTTCCTTCGCCAATAGAATCAAGATTGTTCCATCGAAATCCCCTAACAATTTGCCCAAGGATAAAATAACAAATAATCTTCGTAAAAGAAAAACGTTTTCAAAAAGTTATTGGTTGCAAATTCATTCTCCCATATTCTAGAAGACACAGATAATTACAATAATTTGCAACGCCCTACTAATACCTTACAATCGAAATTTATAGTTGTTGATGTATTTTCCTCGAATAGATCATAATTCTCATTATTAATCATTTGTTAACTGCGCGTTTCTCTCATTTTAAATGTTAATGGAGTTGATGTTACGAAATGTGACAAAGATGTTGAAGGTGAACGAATACTCTAAAACAAACGTACGATAATTGTAGTAAAATGTTTTCTGATAACTTACAAATGATGATTCGTAACCAACATTGAATAATTTTATTCTTTGGAATTGCATTATTTTTTATATTTGAAACCTCCATTCGTTGGGATTCGCTCAACTTAAAAAGAGAAAAAACGTTGAATTCATGAGAACTATTTGGACCTACCGATCTATAAATGGTTTTAGTTCGTTTTTGGAACACATCCGAATTTCCTTTAGTTTTGTCATTGAATCAATTCAAATAGTCATGATCACTGTTGACTATTGAGCAACTGCCATTATCAATATTTTCATAATGAACTGTTCATAACAAAGATTGATCTGATGACTAACACATCTGTGGAAAATCATCATCAGTATTTTCAGTAAACAATGAACATTTCGACCAAAAAAAATATTTAACAGATAAATAACAGAAAGATCCCTCACCAGCGTAAAGAAACCTTCACCTTGTGCTGCTTCTTTATCTTCTTTTTCTACGAAATCGATAAGATACTTTAATTGAAATTAATATCACATTCTACATCGTTCACAAGAATTTCATTCAGATTAGAATCTTCCAAACTCTGAAATTCAATGAAAAATAAATCAGATCTTTTAAAAGAAAAACTTATTGCAGCACGTGTTCGACTTTTACATTGCTTCACCGAGTGTTTTGGTATGAGTACAGGCGAGATTGTTTCTTCCACGTAGACATACTACTTCATTAGTCAACACGCGATTATCTGTTTCCAAGGATAATTTATCTAATGAAATATAATTCAATACATTTGTTGAAATTTCTGAATAATCAATTAGTTGCTGTTTCTTCTTTTTAATCGATGGCAATTTTCTTGTAATTCCAATATGGCATGTGTGATGAACATAAATATTAGTTAAAGATTCATTGAATGTAACAGCTTCCTGATAAGACTAGTACGCCATACAAAGTTTGTCTGTAGGTTTCGTCAAAAACGAACTCACGGGTTTTTGCACATCAGAAAGATTTTTTTTTCATCATTGTAACTCATTTTCAATGAACTGGTTTTCTGGAAAATCTCAACTTATAAAAGCCAGTTTAAACACAAAGTGAATTAGTCGATTCGCGTTCCAACATTGCTTCAGCGACTCATCTGGATGTGTGCATAGACTACGTAGGTTATGTAATCTCTGATAATAACCGATCTCTTATGATTGAGTTAGTTGGCTTTATTGTGTAGCTGTGTGAATTGATATTGTTCGATCGATATGATTATCGTTATTGTTATTATTATTATCTTCCTTATTATTACATTTTTGACCCCTGATTACTGTTATACCTTGTTCTTTATAGTGTAAAACTCATGAAACATATTATGATTATACCAATATTATTGCTATGTTATCGACTAGATACAGTAAAAGGTTATTGTAAGCTCTCATATTATTAAAGAAGACTTCGATATCAGTTCTACTATATGTACTTCTCCAAATTTCTCTTATTTGTTATGGTTATACGCTTCGCTTATGTTTTAGTTGTATCCATTTTTCTGTAAAAGTCAAACGTAAATGAAATTATTTTATCTTTGAGAGAAAGAAAACAGAAGAAAATATCAAAAAATTCCAAGTGTATTAACACATAAAGAAGTTAACTTAGCATTGCACAATATAGTATTGGTTTTATGCACACATAGTCATAGATAATATCATAATAATTGATATTAGAAGCAATAACAATGTAAAGATATGTATAGTACTAAATCTTAAAGACTTTGCTTTTTGAGAACAAGAAATACTTAAGATTTCATCAAATGAGTGTGTTTCACATCTCTTACGAGACTTTTGTAGTTCATTAATTCAATAAAAAGGTTATGTAATTCTTTTTTCGCTACTCGTCTTATCTTCATAGAATGAAATTCAATCAGATATTACTCTGTATATATTTCCTTGTACTGTTTCAAGAAAACTTCTTATAGTAATGCGATAAAATCAGATAAGCAAATGAATGAAATCGTATTGTTGAACGACGTTGCTCTTGGTCCTTAAAAATAATTAGCATTAATTCTAGATAGAATTCTACCGGAACTATTTGATGCTTTAAATAGATACATTGGGTCGTGTTAGCATAGTTCTTTAATATGATAGTGTAACAAGCGTACAGGATGTTGAGAAATATCTCAAAGCTTTCAGATAAAATGTTAATAAATAATTGTCTCTTGGTTTTTTTATATGAATGTAATAGTGAAAAAACAGCTGATTGTACCCAATGACTTAATGATAGTCATTTATTGAATACAGAGAATTTTAATAATATACTCGATATATTATAGGTTTGCCATTGAATTTCGTGCCACTATTTAGTCAACGTATTTATAGTTTGATCAATAAATTAAGTGATATGTTAGATTTGACGTGCATTTTTTTTACTGCTGGTACTCGTCGAACAACAAGGTACTTTGAATCTAACTGCTTGTTTGATTATGAATCTACTGTTTTTCTCGTCAAAGACGCCGCTATAAATAGACCTGTTCAATGTGCAGTATGGGAAGGTCCTCACACTACTTCGTGAGTCAAATAAATGCGTATTGAGAAATGGTCAATATATTTAAACTATTTAGATTTCTAATGAATGAGACCAACTTACCTAAGGAAGTCTACTGCAAGCAGAGTGGCTTCATGTGACTTGTAAAAAATAAATATGTTCTTGCCAGAATTTACATTGAAAAAGCTATAACAAAATCAAAATTGTAAACAGTGAATCAGATGAAGAGTCAAATTACAAAGATATAGAATGCAGAGAGCACTTGTGTTACTGATCTAACAGCTATTGGTAATCTCCTTGTATGTAGACATGAGATTCGATATAAGAATCTAAACTTAAGTGAGATAGTAAATAAATCTTCAGTATATAAATGATTGGTAAGAAGCATGAGAAAGTGTGACTTATAAAGCAAGATAAGTAGTCTGCACATCATAAAAATATTTGGGAGATTTTGAGCAATTAATGGCTTTATTTTTAAGCAGTATTGAAGTTTCGAATTTTCCTATTATTTCCTCTAAATTCAAGATTACTTTCTCAGGAGTGACTTTGACTAAAGTTTTCTCAAATTATCTTGGATACCACGATATTAATAATCAATACTTACAGTTAAATCAATTACTCATAGAGCGAATACTTTATTCCTAGATCAGTATGATCATAGAAAAATATATGACAAGACAATTGTCTTCAAATCACT